TTTTACAAACTGATTAGAAAAGAGAGGGGGAAGGGAGGGAGAGACAGAGAGAGAGAGGACTTGAAGATATGAATGTCCCAAACAAGCCAATACTCTAGGATGTGAGAATAAGACAGACAATTCTGCATTAACATACATCAGCATTGAGACCAGAGTACCTCCTAATCTTCACTGAGAAAGCTAGAATTTAAAAATAATTATAAGTGATACAAGAGTTTTACAACTGTAAGCTCATTTGATCCTCAGAATAATCTGGCTAAATGTACTAGTCCCATTTCATGGATAATGGAATGGGATTTAGTAGGCTCACATCCACTATGTAGCTGTGACTGTCCAGTCCAAGTTTATGCTGCCCCGCTTCCCCTCACACCAGGCACTGGGAAGCTAACATAATGAATATGCTAATATGATACCATTATTAATTGCAGTATTAATTCAACAAACATTTTAAATGCCAGATCCATGGCAAACCCTGCCTTCAAGAGGTTTACAGTCTAGCCAGAGATTTAGCTCAGTGGTTCGGTGGCCTGCCTTGCAAGCCCAAGGACCCGAGTTCAATCCCCGGTACAAAAAAAAGAGGTTTACAGTCTAATGGAAGGAGCAAATATTTAACAGACAAAAGAGCATATGAAAATTCTAAAGGATGTATTAACAACATGAAATGGAATCACAGAAAGGAATACCTAATTGTGCCCAGCATATTAGACTACATTGTCCTAAAGGGATAGTTAACCTTAGGGAGTCATTAAAAAAGGAACCAAAAATAGTTTCTTATTAGGGTGTCTTCACCAGCATTTTCTACTCTGACTCTAAAATCTAGTACCAGTCAGCAAGTTAAGAAAACAAAACAAAACAAACAAATAAAAAACTGAAAAAACACTCCTCATGTGGAGAAAAGCAATTCATCTAGTCTCATAATTGGGCAGATATTTCCAACCTCTTCTGCTCAATTACTGAGCTAACCAAACAACCTTTCAAATAGTATTTAGGAACATGGGGTTAATCCATTCAAGCAAGCAGAAATAACTATTGACTATAAATAACCTGTTGCCATTTATCTTGTGCAGGCCCTCTTCTGTTATGAATTAATAAATAGTTGTTCTGGTATAAAAAGAAGCTATAGGAAAGTTATCTATGAGTCAACTCTCTCTCTATACCAGTGCCATTCAGGGCAACTTTCTGTGATGATGTGTTCATTGTGGTTATTGAGACTTTACAATGCTGCTAGGGAAACTGAAGAAGCGATTTGTAATATTATTTAATTTAAATTAACTTGGTCACCTATGTGTAATGGCTACCTATTTTGATAGCACAACTCTAGACCCTTGCTGCCCAATATATGGTCTCTGGATCATCAACACTGGCTTCACCTTGTTAACTTGTTGGAAATATATAATCTCAGGTACTATCCCAGACCTAACAATTTAGAACTTCTGGGGATTTTTTCTTTCTCATTTTTTTTGGAGACTGGATCTTGCTGTGTTGTCCAGGCTGCCCTTGAACTTGAGATCCTTTTGCTTCAGCCTCCTAAGTGCTAAGATTAGAGATATATGCTACCACGCCCAACCAGAATCCCTGTTAAAAAGAACCCCAGGAAATTTGTATGCATATTAAAAATTTTTTAAAGGCATAATTCCTTCCAGATGAGCTAAACAAACAAACAAACAAAAAACTCAAGGAGCCTATCTGTGTTGACCCCTCCAAATTATAGAACCCATTCTTAAAATTAGTCTCCAGCATAAAGAAGAAATTTTGTTTCCTTTGCACCTGTCACTCCTTTACCTTTTAACCCCAGCAAAAAGAGCAAAGGGAGAGAAGAGAGCCAGGAACACTGGGGTTTAAAAAAAGTATAAGATGTAAGGATGAAGGATAGGTGGGAAAAGGATGCATTCGTCAGGGATATTTGCACAAAATAGTGCTTTCTTGACAGCTATTGAATATGGATGATGGATATATGGAAGTTCATTATATTCTCTACTTTTGTGTATGTTTGAAAATTTGTATTAAAAAAATGGGAGGGCTGGGGATTTAGCTCAGTGGTTCCGACGCCTGCTTGCAAGTGTAAGGGCCCAAGTTTGATCCCTGGCATCAAAAAAAGGGGGAAAAATGGATTTCAGAGATATATGTGCAGTAAGCAGCCCCAAGATGGCCTCCAATGACCTACTGCTTCTGGAATTCATGTCCTTGTGCAGTCTTCCATACTGAATCAGGACTTGGCTATGTGACTAAAGTGGAAGTAATGGGCAAAAAATTAAAGAGATAAATCACTGTGACTTCTGTCTTGCTCTCTTGTTCTGAGGGAAATCAGCTATAAGCTATTAGGGCACATGCACAGGACAGGCCTCCAAGGAGAGGCATCGGTTTTTCCTCCCAACAGCCAGCCATGCTAGGAAGTAATCCCCTGCAAAAGTTGATCCTCTGGCTGCAGGCCATCCTTCCAATGACTGTTACCTGTAACTACATGAGAAACCTCCCAGTTAGGACGGGGTATACCATGCCACTTCCAAATGTCTAACCAACAGAAATGGTGAAAAATAATCTATCCTATTGTTATCAGATTGGGGGGCATCTTGCAGGGCTTCTTTCCAGGTTCTTGGTGTACCAAACTAAGAACTGAATAAGATACGCAGAAAAGGCAGCAATATGGACCGGGGATTTAGCTCGGTCGTTTTGCCGCCTGCCTCTCAAGCACAAGGACCCAAGTTAAAAAAAAAAAAAAAAAAAAAAAAAAAAAAAAAACGCAGTAACAGTGTGTATTTACTGAGGGCAGAAAAGAGGAATGCTCTACAGGACAAAAGTGGGTTGGTAAAAGGTTCATTGCAGCCTCAAGGATAAATGGAAAGGGGTCTTTTGTATCCCAAATATCCAGGTTGTTTGTCCTCTCAAGCAAAGAGGCACTGGGACATTTGTCCTATCAAAAACTCACTTGGCCTCATGCCAGGTATGAACTGTCCTACAGAAAAATTTCCTTGATTTTTTGCCAGATGTAAATGAAGGATCAGAAACAGTGTCATTTGATTGGTTGTGCCCACGTGTAAATGATCAAAAGTAGCTAGCATCTTCTGGGTGGGGAATTTAGCTCAGTGGAACCACGCTTGCCTTGAAAGCACAAGGTCCTGAGTTCAAACCCTGGTACCAAAAAAAAAGAGAGAGAGAGAGAGAGAGAGAGAATAGAAAAATAGCATCTTCTGATTGGTCCTGCAAATAACAAAAGATTTGGATGAAGGGCTGAAAATATCACTTTGTTATTGGTTCCCTACACAGTGCTCAGGAACCACAGAGTTGTTTTGAGTCCTGTATTCTACACATTTTCTCTCTTTTTTGGAGACATCTTGCTCAACCTGCTAGCCATGGGTTTTTATAATCTTTGACACATTCCACCCAGTCCGTTGTCCAGTTTTCCCTAACCCTTATCTCCTACATCAGTATTATAGCAAACGTCTCTAATATTGTTTGGGGGTAATTTTTCATGCAGCAATAGGTAACTAATGAAATGTGATTTCAGGATTCCTCCCTTTCTGCTCACCAAAAATAAAACCTTTGTCTTCTCACCAGTGCCTAATATGACCAGGAGAATCAATATTTTTTTCACAATATGGATAACATGGCAATACCTCACAAAGAGATAATATGTCCACCTAAATTCATGTTGACAGATATAAATTCTTTCTTTTTAAAACTTAGCAGGCTAATCTACTGAGACATTAATTTCAGTCTTAAGTCTTGCTGTTGTAAAAGACTAGAAAGAATAAAATGGTAATTTCTTCCTCAGGGTCTCCCTTCTCCAAACTAGCTAAAAATCTTAAGAGTAAGGTCTTGGCTCTTTCTACATCCCATTGCTCCACCCCCACCCTAACAACATTCACTGGTTAACAGCTTATGTTTCAGGGACAATCCTAGAAAAGACACCCCCAGCCCCACCACTGGCCTTCATCTTGAGGATTAGGTAATAGAGAAACTCTGCTGGAACTGCTCCATAAGGAAAGGGGAAACTGGTTCAGGAAGAAGGCGGGTGGCCAGACCGAAGGGATAAATTACTTCCTTCAGCCTGGGAAAGGTTTTGGAGTTTCTAGGAACAGAAACCTGCCCCTGCCTTTCATGCAGTCCCTGCTGTGTATTTAGAGGGTGGGGTAGGAGAAAGCTGCGAGGGTAGTAATGGGACCTCAGGGACTACATTCAAGAGTCCCAACAGGAGCCTTCCCCCACCCTGCCCAGCTGGCATATAGGCTATAGAGCTGTGCCTTTCAGGTACCCCAAGAATTACGGACTAGTGGTATCAAGACTAAAGGGGAAAAGGAAACAAAACGAACGCTTCCCAAAATTTTTACATTCTCATCCCCAGAGAGAAGGGAGGAGGGACTTCAAAACGTGACTAATGAACTTCCCGCCAACACTGACAGGCGGGAGCTGAGCCAGACTTGTTTAATTTTGAAAATTAAGATATGTGACGCTTCCTGCCCTGGACTCAGCTGCGGCAAGTTCACTCCAGGGAGACAAACTTTTCCTGCCAGCAGTTTTGAGTAGGAAGGGTACCTGGGGGTAAGAAGGCTGGGGGGGCGGAGAGGAGGAAGACTATGGAGGAAGTAGGAAAGGAGCTGGAGGGGCCAGTGTCCCCCTTCCTGACACTTTCTGTCACCAGCTCGGCCCCCGGACAGGTTTATCAAGACAAGGACCCTGCTGGCG